GGAAAGGGGGCTGAGAGGGACGGGAGCGGGGCTTGAGGCGGGGCTGAGGGGCAGGAGCGGGCCCTGAGGGGGACCGAGGGGCAGGAGCGGGCCCTGGGGGGCGGCTGAGGGGCAGGAGGAGGCCCCGAAGGGAGACACCCACGCATGGCTGCCCCCCGATTCTCACTCCACAGCCGTTCCCCGACTCTCTCCTCTCTTGCAGTGTGGAGGAGCCTGTGGGAGCGCGGCCCCAGGGATGGCAGCAGCAGCGGTGGCCCGGCAGGCCTGGCCCGGCTCTCCCTTTGCGCTGGGGACGGCAAAGGGGCAGGCAGCTCTGGAGCGTGGAGGTAGGTCAGGCTGGGCTGGCGTGCCCCTCACCTCACAGCCAGCGCTGGTGCCTGGTGCCCACCAGGCTCTGCTCCGGGATGCCAAAGGGAAGGAACTGCTACTGATACGATGAAAGCACAGGATGGAGGACGTCACCTCTCCTGTCTGAATAGGCAAATGGGTCACCATCTCTGTAAGCCAGAGCTGGCCTGGGAGCTCGAAGAGTAGAGGGCTTTACCAGAGAAATATTAGCGTTTGCCAATTGTGAATTTAGCTGTGGGTAACCTGGTCTGACAAGGCAGAGCCATGTCCTTGCAAAGACCACGCTGAGGCCAGATTTGACACTTACAGCTCGGTAATTGCTATTTGTGTTTTGCCAAAGTCCAACCAGCAGCTCTCGCTTGGCTCCTCGCACTCCCACGCCTCCTCTGGACTGCTCATAATGTCCTGCACCAGAAGCACTAATTGTCTGGGGAGAGACTGTTCCTCGAGCTGATAATGACTGTTCTCAGCCCCATCTGTATGTAGTGCTGACCCATGTTTGCCACTGACATGTGGAGCTCTCTCAAGGCAGAGCCCTTGGGGGAAAACAGAGAAATGACCATGTCAGTGCTGACCCGGGGTGACTGCATCTCCCTCTTAGAAACTTTGTGAAATTCAGGACATAGAAAAACAGTCTTCGTATCCCAAGATCAGTGTAAATCATCCATGAGACTTGTGAGCCCCAGCACCACTGTTCCCACAGCCCTGTGTGTCCACCCCTGTCCAAAAAACGCCCTCTCAGAGGGGCACCAATGGCTCGGTGTGTGCAGATCTGTGTAAGGAAGCGCAATGGAAAGTGTCTGCTCCTGGGGTATGGATCAGGCTGACAGTTCAGCTTTCTCCTCGTTAAGTGCTAGCACGCAATCCTGCTGATTGGAGACCCTTCTGCAGAATTCTTGGGGTGGTTTCCCCTCCCCCAGGCAGTTCTCAGCTGTGGTCGCTGTCAGTGTGTTACTGGCTGTGCTTTCTCTCTGTTCCGAGCAGGATCCAAGGGACCAGGCCCTTCTCTTTGTCCGCTGCTGCCAGAGCCATTTTGGGAAGGGGCAGCTGGGGTGGAGATGGTGGGACACAGCAGCTCACCCTGCGGGATGTGGCAGAGCAGATTCGGAAGAAGGAGTGTCGCCGGGTGGTGGTGATGGCTGGCGCTGGCATTAGCACCCCCAGTGGCATCCCGGATTTCAGGTAATGCCTCCCTCCTTCCCTTGCCCTTTTTCAGTGCTGGGAGGGCCCAGATCTTCTGCTGGTGCCCGCTCCTCCTCTCACCCCTGCCTTTCCTTTATCTGTGCCAGGCTGGACTGGGCACAGGGGTTTCCCTGCCCGCAGACCCTCCTCCTCCAGCCGAGGGCAGGCTGTGTCACGGGTCAGACCGTCCTGGCCCAGGTCTTCAGGGTGGTTAGGTCAGGCCTCTAGCTTGATTCTGTGACTTCATTCACCAAACCAACTTGGCCACCAGAGAAGAGCCAACGTGGCCACGGCACGAGCTCGAGACGCTCCTTCTGGAAGAGAGTGTGATCCTCACAGCACACCAGGGTGGCCCTTCCTTCCTCTGACTGGGACACCCCCCTGCAGCCGGGAGAAGGTGGCAGCAGGGCATGCGTGCCAGGCAGGTTCTCCTGTCCAGAGGCAGCTTCAGCTGCTTTTGACACACAATGGACAGCACGAAGCAGCCAGGGAGAGCCTGAGGACCCAGCTGTCTGCTCTGCGGTGTCTTGGTCCACCTCTGTGGTGGGTGGCATCTCCTCCTGCACTGTGTCTGCCAGCCCTGCTCTCCTCCTTGCAGGTCCCCGGGGAGCGGCCTCTACAGTAACCTTGAGCAGTACGACATCCCCTACCCAGAAGCCATCTTTGAACTCATGTATTTCTTTGCCAACCCCAAGCCCTTTTTCACTTTGGCCAAGGAGCTCTACCCTGGCAACTACAGACCCAACTACGCCCACTATTTCCTGAGGCTCCTGCACGACAAAGGGCTCCTCCTGCGCCTCTACACCCAGAACATCGATGGGCTGGAGAGAGGTGAGTTTTCTCTCCCCCCTCTCTCAGCAGCAGAGCACCAGGGAGAGCTGAGGGCGAGATGCAGAACAGGAGGCAGGACTGGGGCAATGCCCAGCAGCTGTGGGGTTCCTGGTTGAGTCGCCTCAGGCTGAGCTGGTCCTCTCTTGCCCGCTGTGTTCCAGTTGCTGGGATCCCCCCCGACAGACTGGTGGAAGCCCATGGCACCTTTGCCACTGCCACGTGTACGGTCTGTCGAAGGAAGTTCCCAGGAGAGGACTTCAGGGTGAGTGGTCACAGCTGGGCACCGACACACAACACGAGGAGGAGGACCTGCTCCAGGCTGTTATTTTGCCCTCAGGGCCCAGCTGTGGGGCAGGACGTGTTGTGGTTCTGACCCAGGTGTGTGCCACCCTGTAACGAGCGGCGTTGGGTGCTCTCACTCCAGGGGGACGTCATGGCAGACAAGGTCCCTCACTGTCCCGTCTGCACTGGAGTCATCAAGCCTGACATCGTGTTCTTCGGAGAGGAGCTCCCGCAGCGCTTCTTCCTGCACATGGCAGACTTCCCCATGGCAGACCTGCTCTTCGTCATCGGAACGTCCCTGGAGGTCTGGGGCTGAGGGAACTCCCTGCTCGCAAGGGGGAAAAGGCACATGGAAAACAGGGGGGGGCTCTGGAGGGGAGAGAGGGGTTAGGGGAGAAGGTGAGACACGGGGTTATTGAGGTAAAATCTGAGGTGACAGGGTAAGAAGTAGGGTGCATGCTCTGAGACCCTCTGAAGGCCTTGTGTTCCCCTGGGAAAGGTGCCCCGGGCTCCTGAAGAGCAAGAGCTGCCTGAAGGAAAGCCACCAGAGAACTGGTGCCATCCCTAACCTGGTCAAACAGTTTAGCACGGGGGGAGAACTAAGCTCAGTGTGCAGTGAGCTCGCCCCCGCGGTACCCGGCTGCGGGGTGACCCTCTCTCTGCTCTCGGGGTGACCCCCCTCAGGTGGAGCCCTTCGCCAGCCTGGCAGGAGCCGTGCGCAGCTCCGTCCCCCGCGTCCTCATCAACCGAGACCTGGTGGGACCCTTCGCCTGGCAGCGGCGCCACAAGGACGTAGCCCAGCTGGGGGACGTGGTCAGTGGGGTGGAGAAGCTGGTGGAGCTGCTGGACTGGGAGGAGGAGATGGAAGCGCTGATGCGGAAGGAAAAAGAGAAGGTGGGAAGGGGCTGAGCGCCCTGGCCCCCTCCTCAGCCTCTTTGTCCCTCCTGGAGGTACCCGGGGTCTGTGCTGGTGGGGTTCACCTGCCCCACGGCACTGCTGTGTCTGCAGGGAAAGGGGCCACGGGAAAGTGAGAGAAGGTTAAAAAAACAAAACCCAAAACCCCAAACCTCAGCAGCGTTTCCCAGCGCAGGCGCCGCAGAGCAGAGCTGCTGATGCTGTTTCAGGGGTCCCGGGGGGGGACACAGATCTGCTCTCCTCAGGTGGAATAGGAAGAATATGGGAAAGGCCAGGTTTTGGGTTGAGTGAGAGCAATTTAGGGCTTCTTCAGGCAGTGACCCACTCAATTGCTGAAAGGCTTTCTGGTGGCTTCACCTGTTTTTTTGGATTTATTCCCAAACACGCTGAAAAAGGCCCACAGGAGGGAAGGTACAGTTTCCTGGGGCTGGATGGGACCACCCAGACAATCCCTGGAGCTGCGTCAGGTGAACCCTCTGATGCCACCATCACCCCAGTGGAGCTCTCCTCAGCCCAAACCTTCGCTGAGTTGCTTTGGTTTTGTTTCTGGTGGGTTTTCCTGGTCGTGGCGAGAAACAAGTAATAGTAGCAATGAGAGGGAGGCTCTAATTGTGCTAATTGTTGGTCTGGGACTGAGCAAGGTGCTGCAGTGCCCAGCGAGGGGGCAGGCAGGAGGGAGGGCACCTGCTCCCCCGCAGCCTGGAATCATTAAATGCAGGCCTGACCTTTCTGATTGTCTCTCTCCTGTGCCTCCTTACACCTGCAGTCCTCCCAGACCTTCCCAAGGGAGAAACTGCAGGAGAGAAGTTGTTAATTACTTTGAGTTTTCTGCTAATGCTAATTGTTACATTACTTTAGATGGGCTGGGAAGATTTTTCCACATTTGGCATCAAACACTTTTTAAATTGTTTATTTTATTTTAATTGAAGGAGGAGCTGTAAGGTGTGTGGGTGGGCAGTGGCTGGGCGCAGCGCCGCGCTCTGCAGAGGGGTCCCCTGCTCCCCTGGGGAGAGGCCCCTTGTCCTTTAACAGACACACTGTCTGTTTGTGACTTGTTCCACCCAAGAGAGAACCTGACTTCAAGACTCCAGTTCTGACGTTCAGGTTGTTCATACTCCCATCAGGTGATGGGGTGGGACGAGGAAGAATTAGGAGTCTTTGGGCCAGGTTTGTGACTTTTCACGGCCAGCCCTTTAGTGCTTGGGTGCGATGGAGCAGCCCTTGGTCTGAGGCTGGTGCTGCTCTGGATCCCTGCCGGATGAACTGATGCAACGGGGCAGAGCAGGAACAGCACCCCCCAGCTCGGGGACTGGGGTGCTCGGAAGCAGCTCCAGCCGAGCTGGCGGGGCTGGGGGGTCAAAACACCCAGCAAACCCCCCCTGGTCCTTCTGGTTTCAGCTGGATGCGAAAGACAAGTAGGAGGAGGCTGGCTCCCTGCTGCCGAGAGACGCATTCGCCCAGGAAAGGAGACGCCGTCGTGCCCAGCGTGGGGAGGAGGAGATGGTGGTGGGGAGCCCCGGGAGAGGCCTCCAGCCCCACAGCCGGGAGGCAGGGGGTGCTCCGGGAGGTGGAGCAGAGAGACCCTCACCCACCAAGGAAGGGAGGCTGAAGCCCAAGCACCGAGCTGCAACCGGTTCTGCAGGTGAAGGCTTTGTGACCTGAGGCTTCAGAGCGGTCACTGCAGCCCCCAGCGCTGTCCCCTCCCCCTCTCACCTCAGTCCAGCACCCACCAGCAGAGATGTCCCTTGTCCCGGCACTGGCCATCACCCATCACACCATCTGGCCACCTCTGGCCATGAGAGCTTCACCAGCAAGTGCCAGGGGAGCTGTGCATCCACAGGTTGCCCAAGGCCTCCTCCTGAGCCCTCCCACCCCCGAGACCCCCGGGGGCTGGTGCTGAGCAGCAGGGGCTGAAGATGCCCCGAAGGCCAGGCCTGAGACAGGACAATGGAGACTCTTCCAGCTCCTCCCTCCGGAGCGAGCACCCACCGGCTCCTGCCCCGGCTCCTCCTCAGATGCTTCTCTCTCAGCAACGTCCTCCCGCTGCCGCAGACCATCCTGTTCATTCTTCAGCTGAAATCTCTGCTAATCAGGGGACAAATGCTGTCGGGGGGTGTCTGCCCCCCACCCTGTTCAGGAACACCAGCCAAAGCTGCTGGCAGTTTCAAATTTATGTCATGTTAATTATTTAATAATAAAGAGTTCTAATTATTTTGCTGATGTCACCTGAGGGTTTTTTTTATGAACTTACCTTCCCTTGTGTTAAGCACATCCCGTCCCCAAAACCACCGCTTCTTTCACCTGCTTTTTTAGTACTTGTTTTCCCCTTTCTAGCCGTTCATCCAACCACCCACCTCAGCAGCAGCCACACATCCCTCCTGCAGCGGGGACCGGCCCCACGGGGGCTTCGGGCAGCCCCGGGAGGGTCACTCTCCCATTTCACAGGCACCAGGAGCCTCCAACACGTCGCTTCTCACTAACAATGGTGGGACGTGGTGTTTTTTAGCCACCCCCTGTTAAAAAAGCCTTTACTCCAGGAGCGCCTCCTGCGCCGGGGCGTCTCTGAGCAGGGCTGGCTGGTGGCAGGTCGGGGGGTTACGCACGATAGAAAACCAGAATACACCAATATCAGAGGCTTTGCACTAAAAATACACCCCCCCACTTTCCCTTTTGCATGGGAGAGCTTTAACAGCTGGGAGGAGATCAGAGGTCTGTGTTTTCACACAGGTTTGTGGTGGGGTTTTTGCTAAATGAAAAAAAGAGAGATGTATTTGGCCCAAAATGTCCAGTCTCCAGTGACTGGCGGGAGCTGCTCCCCCGGCAGCCTCCGGGTCAGTCTCACACGGACACCAGGTACCCCTGGGGGAGCCCGGAGATCTAATTATGATGACTGAAAACAGTTCTTAATCACGGAAGAACTAAACTGAACGAAGTGTCCCTTCAGCTTCTCACCTCACAGACCCCGTCTTCAGAAAACCGGCACCGACTCCTCCCTCCAGTCCCGTCCCGCTCCCCGGCAGAGCCCCCGCACACCCCAAAACCAGACCCCCACTGGGGCTGAGTGGTGAATCCCCTCCTCACGGGCAGGAATCAGCTGCCGGGCACCGTTTTCATCCATTCCAGAGCGTTTGAGAAGGCGAGGAGTGTCCTGTGTCAGCTGCTGTGACCCCGAGGGCCGGGCTCAGGCGGGTTCCCAACGCCCCCTTTCCCTGGGGGTGCTCCCTCGGATGCACCCGGTGGCAGAGGTGCAGGGAAAGGCTCCAGCTTCACCCCAGTTTAATGCTGCAGTTTCACCTCCCAAATAAACATGTGAAGTCCAGGGTGGGGGGAGGAGAACTGTGTGCTCCTCGGAAACACCCAGAGACGTTTCCTCACTCACCCGGAGCTCTCGCGTCCCATGAATCACTGCCAGGAGCCCATTTGTCAGGTTTTCTTTATTCTAGCATCACTTCTGCATTCCTACTTGTGATAGTGAGTTTTGGAGCGCTGGTACATGAGACAAACTGGAATATTTTCTTTAAAACAATTCTCTTTAAAAAGAAAAAAACAGGAAAAAAAAAAGACAACAAATGTAAGCGGCAGGGAAGGACAGGCCCAGCCCCTGGTGGTGGCCAGCAGCAGGCCCCTGGGGAAGCCGAGGTGGCCACGGAGGCAGCAGGAAGAGCCCAGACTTTGGCCTTTTGTTTGGAAAGCGCAAGATGGGGAAAGGCCGATGCCAAGAACTCAACCCCGTGGTGCCGGGGGCATCGTGTGGTGCCAGAGCCCGAGTCCCAGAGCGCTCCTGGCAGTCACTGCGGCCAACGGGGGGGCTGGCAGCCTCACAGGGGGCTTCCCTCGCCCCCCCCGTGAGGTGCACACACCGCTCTGCACTCACCAACACCCCCGGGTGTGCACGGGCACCATCACACACAGCCACACGCAGCAAACACACGCTCAGCTCCCTGCTGAGGAAGCGGCTGCACCAAGGCCCCCCACAGACTCTGCTCCCCAAAAACTGCCTGAAGAGCCGCGGGGGCAGCTCCCCCCACGCAGGGATGGCCACGTATAGCCACGCATGGCCACATGTAGCCACGCACACAGCAAGTGGCCACACAACCGTCGGCACAAACACGAGACGCTCTGCAGGATGCTGAGCCCCAATGGTGACAGACAGATCCTCCCCCCACCCTTTTTGCCCAAACATCACGTTTTTTGGTGGTTTTGTTTTGTTTTTTTTTAAAAAAAAAAGGTCCTACTGGAAAGTCCTGGAAGCGATTTGGAGCATGAAATCCTCAAGGCTGCTGAGAGGAGGGACCATGCTGGGCCATGAAGACCCTCGGGGAGGAGCGGTGGTCATGGAGCTGGGAAGGAGGTGGGAGCGGTTCCTTGTTGTGAATTTGCTGTGAGGGGTCGGGCTGGATCCAGGTCCCCCGGGGAGAGCCCTGGCCCAGCACCGGCCTCTGGGCACAGCCCTGGTTCCAGGGGGTGGCACGGAGGGGCTCCCCAGCTGTCTGAGGCTGGGGCCAGGCCTCCATCAGTCCAGCCCCAGGTCCGAGTCGGAGGACGACCTCTCGTCGGCCGCCTCGCGGATGGCGTTCTCCATGGGGGCCAGGCTGCCGCTCGGCGTGATGCCCATGGGCTGGATGACCTGCTCCCTGCAGGGGAAGGGCACACACACCTCAACAGCCGCAGCAGGAACATGGGGCTTGTGGCTAATGCCCAGAGGTGGCCCAGAACAACCCCCGGCCACCACTAAGAATCCCCCCCTTTCAGAAGGCGGGGACAGTTCTCGCCATAAAACCCCCAGCGCGGTGAGGCCATGGTGGGAAGCACAACCCACAGGCTTTGCCATTCCCAGGTTCCATGAACAGGCTGTTTTAGGGTCCCATTCCATGTGGATCAGGGTGACCCAAGAACCACTGGCACTGGCAGCAGCGTCCCTCCAACACACGATGGAAGTACAGGCATTAAATGCACTGCCCTTTCCTCCCGCCATCGGGGTGGTCCCAACCCAGCTGGCAGCCCCTGGGTTCCTCTGCTCCACCGATTAACAGTGGATGAGTGAGGACTGGAGAAAGCAGGGAAAGGGATCGGTGCCACCAGCTGCCATCTGTCCCCCAAACACTGCTTCCCACGGAGCAGCCTGGCCAGGACAGTGGCTGCTGCTGTCCCTGAGCCCCCGGCCAAACCTGCCAAGGCAGGAGGTGCCTGGAACCACAGCGCAGGCACGGAGAGGAATTCACAGTATGCCATCGTGCCAAAGAGGGGTGGGGGCTTGCAGTGCCTTCCCCAGCATGTAACGGGGCCCAGCTTAAGGCCATATTTCCCCATGTTCCCCCCCTGCTCCCTCTCACATTCCTTTAGTTAGCAGTTGGGAATACATCCAGGGAAAGGTCAGTGATACACGGACACCACAGACAGGAGGGTGCTCACACAGACACAAACACACGCGCTTTTCTAGTACCTGGACAACTTGTCAAACATGTTGACTAACTTCATGGCTTCGTACTCCTTCTGCTCTTCAGTCATCCCTTCCATGGGGTTGGGCAGTTTCTCCTCGACACGCCCCGTCACAGGGTTAATGCTGGAAGAGGAGCAGTGAGGCTGGGACAAGGAGGGAGGAGCACAGACCCAACGCAGGCACCAGTCACCACCCGCACCACGAGCAGCTCCACCACGGGGGCATCTCACCCGAGGGATGGGCAGAGAGGGTGGAACAGGACATGAAAGGCGAGGGTGAAACTGCTCAGGAAATGTGCGTGACAGAGCAGGACACAGGAGATGGCAGGGGGGCAGATGAGGAAAGGGACGGCGCAGGAGTGGGAAGAGGGGAGTTACGGAGGGGGAGCGGGGTTCCTTACTTGGCCTTCGCCTCTTTGTACTCCTCAGTGTCTGTGTCTTCATCTTCCGAGTACTCTCCCTCTTCCCGACCACCAGCCATGAGGCCTCGTGCTGCCAGGAGCCCAGCGGCGTTCCCGTAGCCCGTGTACTTCACAAACCGTGACACTGCCGGGAGGAGGGGACAGGGACCACCCTGTGCTTCCCCTCCCACCTCTCTGTCTGCATCCGCTCCCATGTGCCCCCCAATACAATCCCAGTGAGGCCATGGAGCTCCAGGAACTCCAACGCTGCTTTGAACCCTGACAGGGAAGGAGGCTCCCTCCCTGTACAGCAGGAACGATGGGGACAACACCCCGGATGCAGGCCAGGTGTCTGCAGGGTGTCACCGTGTCCTCCAGCAGAGCTGTTCCCTCACCGCTGCCACAAGAGACAGCGGCTCCTTCCCTCTTGGACACTCTCCACCGTTCCCTACTCAGCGTGTCCAGCCCAAGGGAGGGGAGGACAGAAGGTCCTGCTGCTGCAGAGGTCACTGTCCCACACTCTGGGGCGGCCCAGGGGACACGCTCCAGGGACTTCCCAGCACCAAGGCCCACCAGGAGCCCCTGCCACTCACCGCTCTCCTTGCAGAGCACGAAGAGGAACTCTGCGGCGCAGTGCTTCACGTCGGTGTCGATGTGGGTCATCAAACGCACCAGCTTGTTCCGCAGAGAGTTCCCCACCTCCGGGCGGGTCCTCACGTCCCGCAGCGGAGGCAGCACCTACGGGGCCACAGCAAGGGGTGGTCAGTGGGGCTGGAGCAGCAGGGCAGGCAGGGGGGTACGTACATGGGTTTTACAGATCAGCTACAACTAATAAATCCACAGACCAGGGGAGAAGTGGAAAAAATACCGTGGGTGCCAAAGGCCTCACCCACCCATGTATCAGAACCCAGCAGAGGCAGAGGAGGTCTCTGTCAGCACCACCCAACGCCTGGCCGAGCTGCAGCCTACCTTGGCCTTCAGGAACTTCCTGGTCTGGCGGTGGACTCGGGCGCTCTCCGTCAGCAGGTTCAGCACCGGCGTCAGACTCTCCTTCAGCTTGTGGCCCTGCAGGAGCAGCCACAACAGGAACAGCTCAGTCACAGGGAGCTGAGCTCATCTGCCCCGTGGTGGGGAAATGGGCACAGACCGACAGACGGGCACTGAAGCCTTCCAGCCCCGGCTACAGGAATTCCAATGCTCCATCGCTCCTCAAATGCCACAGTTTTCCAAGCCCTGCTCATGGCACGGCATAAGCACTTGTGTAGGGAATCCAAAGGGGAGAAGTGCAGCTGTAAAATTTGGAGACCCTTTGGTATAACTCCAGAGACTGAAAACCACAGCCAGCTTGAAAATAATACAAATTCAGGCTCCCAGAAGCTGCCCACCGGGTCACCACCGAGTGAAACAGAGCACAGATATTTCCATTGCCCAGCAAACCACCTACTGTCCAGCCAGTCCCACCACCTGCAGTCTGTAAGGCAACGGCACAGTCACCTTCCTAGTCCACAGATGCTGGGTTAGTCCTACCAACCCTGACAACCATGACCAAACAGCTTCTGCTAAAAACCACGCCTCTATGAAGGGGTATCTCCAAACCAGCCCCACCTGGCTGGCTCCTGCAGTGGTCCCAGGCTCTGCGAGGCTGACGGGACAGTGCTCTGCAGGGGACACGTGAAACAAGGGGGGACAGACTCCCCCAGCAGCCTCCCGACTCACCCTGTCCAGGCGCCGCTCCAGGAAGTCCAGCAGGATGCTGACTGCGTCCATGTTGACACCCATGTACTCCAGCGAGCCCGGCCGGACTTTCGGGGTGAGGAGGACATCCAGACATTTCAGGGGCAGGTTGCCCAGAAGGTTAACTGTATGGCTAAACACAGAAAAGAGAACATGTAGTCAGGGGTCTTTGTTCACAGAAGTTCTTCAGCTAAAGCAAGGTTCATTACTAACTTCCAGGAGTGTGAGGACCCAAGATCCAAGTTGTCTTTAGACTGCACCCCAAGCTCCTCAACCCCTAAAAGGGAATAAATTGAACTGCTTTTTGGGTAGCTGAACTATTTGCTGGGAGTCCAAGGAGACTTCAGTGACAATGGTCTTTCTCCAGGGTCTCCTACTGTCTCACCCCTCACCGTGGTGCAATGCAAGGCATTGCTCTGGATTCCTCTGACTACAGCCTTCCCGGGGACAGGATTGTGTCACCTGCTCAAAGCTGATACCCTGGGGTCAATAATGCTCCACAACGTGACAAAGGCAATTTCTCAGTGTGACCCAAGAGACAGACAGTTAATTAAGGCCAGCCCATGGACTCTTTAATTAAAAAGCACCAAAACTCTGCCCTGGCGAGCTGCCCACTGGAGTGAGTGGCACTGCTGAGCAGGCCTGACACGGGACATTGGATATGGCCCTCAGGGCCAGGCAGGTGGGGAGAAAACCCTCTTCCCCAGGGGTTTCCCTGCCCGCAGACCCTCCTCCTCCAGCCGAGGGCAGGCTGTGTCACGGGTCAGACCGTCCTGGCCCAGGTCTTCAGGGTGGTTAGGTCAGGCCTCTAGCTTGATTCTGTGACTTCATTCACCAAACCAACTTGGCCACCAGAGAAGAGCCAACGTGGCCACGGCACGAGCTCGAGACGCTCCTTCTGGAAGAGAGTGTGATCCTCACAGCACACCAGGGTGGCCCTTCCTTCCTCTGACTGGGACACCCCCCTGCAGCCGGGAGAAGGTGGGGTGGCAGCAGGGCATGCATGCCAGGCAGGTTCTCCTGTCCAGAGGCAGCTTCAGCTGCTTTTGACACACAATGGACAGCACGAAGCAGCCAGGGAGAGCCTGAGGACCCAGCTGTCTGCTCTGCGGTGTCTTGGTCCACCTCTGTGGTGGGTGGCATCTCCTCCTGCACTGTGTCTGCCAGCCCTGCTCTCCTCCTTGCAGGTCCCCAGGGAGCGGCCTCTACAGTAACCTTGAGCAGTACGACATCCCCTACCCAGAAGCCATCTTTGAACTCATGTATTTCTTTGCCAACCCCAAGCCCTTTTTCACTTTGGCCAAGGAGCTCTACCCTGGCAACTACAGACCCAACTACGCCCACTATTTCCTGAGGCTCCTGCACGACAAAGGGCTCCTCCTGCGCCTCTACACCCAGAACATCGATGGGCTGGAGAGAGGTGAGTTTTCTCTCCCCCCTCTCTCAGCAGCAGAGCACCAGGGAGAGCTGAGGGCGAGATGCAGAACAGGAGGCAGGACTGGGGCAATGCCCAGCAGCTGTGGGGTTCCTGGTTGAGTCGCCTCAGGCTGAGCTGGTCCTCTCTTGCCCGCTGTGTTCCAGTTGCTGGGATCCCCCCCGATAGACTGGTGGAAGCCCATGGCACCTTTGCCACTGCCACGTGTACGGTCTGTCGAAGGAAGTTCCCAGGAGAGGACTTCAGGGTGAGTGGTCACAGCTGGGCACTGACACACGGATTAACACGAGGAGGAGGACCTGCTCCAGGCTGTTATTTTGCCCTCAGGGCCCAGCTGTGGGGCAGGACGTGTTGTGGTTCTGACCCAGGTGTGTGCCACCCTGTAACGAGCGGCGTTGGGTGCTCTCACTCCAGGGGGACGTCATGGCAGACAAGGTCCCTCACTGTCCCGTCTGCACTGGAGTCATCAAGCCTGACATCGTGTTCTTCGGAGAGGAGCTCCCGCAGCGCTTCTTCCTGCACATGGCAGACTTCCCCCTGGCAGACCTGCTCTTCGTCATCGGAACGTCCCTGGAGGTCTGGGGCTGAGGGAACTCCCTGCTCGCAAGGGGGAAAAGGCACATGGAAAACAGGGGGGGGCTCTGGAGGGGAGAGAGGGGTTAGGGGAGAAGGTGAGACACGGGGTTATTGAGGTAAAATCTGAGGTGACAGGGTAAGAAGTAGGGTGCATGCTCTGAGACCCTCTGAAGGCCTTGTGTTCCCCTGGGAAAGGTGCCCCTGGGCTCCTGAAGAGCAAGAGCTGCCTGAAGGAAAGCCACCAGAGAACTGGTGCCATCCCTAACCTGGTCAAACAGTTTAGCACGGGGGGAGAACTAAGCTCAGTGTGCAGTGAGCTCGCCCCCGCGGTACCCGGCTGCGGGGTGACCCTCTCTCTGCTCTCGGGGTGACCCCCCTCAGGTGGAGCCCTTCGCCAGCCTGGCAGGAGCCGTGCACAGCTCCGTCCCCCGCGTCCTCATCAACCGAGACCTGGTGGGACCCTTCGCCTGGCAGCGGCGCCACAAGGACGTAGCCCAGCTGGGGGACGTGGTCAGTGGGGTGGAGAAGCTGGTGGAGCTGCTGGACTGGGAGGAGGAGATGGAAGCGCTGATGCGGAAGGAAAAAGAGAAGGTGGGAAGGGGCTGAGCGCCCTGGCCCCCTCCTCAGCCTCTTTGTCCCTCCTGGAGGTACCCGGGGTCTGTGCTGGTGGGGTTCACCTGCCCCACGGCACTGCTGTGTCTGCAGGGAAAGGGGCCACGGGAAAGTGAGAGAAGGTTAAAAAAACAAAACCCAAAACCCCAAACCTCAGCAGCGTTTCCCAGCGCAGGCGCCGCAGAGCAGAGCTGCTGATGCTGTTTCAGGGGTCCCGGGGGGGGACACAGATCTGCTCTCCTCAGGTGGAATAGGAAGAATATGGGAAAGGCCAGGTTTTGGGTTGAGTGAGAGCAATTTAGGGCTTCTTCAGGCAGTGACCCACTCAATTGCTGAAAGGCTTTCTGGTGGCTTCACCTGTTTTTTTGGATTTATTCCCAAACACGCTGAAAAAGGCCCACAGGAGGGAAGGTACAGTTTCCTGGGGCTGGATGGGACCACCCAGACAATCCCTGGAGCTGCGTCAGGTGAACCCTCTGATGCCACCATCACCCCAGTGGAGCTCTCCTCAGCCCAAACCTTCACTGAGTTGCTTTGGTTTTGTTTCTGGTGGGTTTTCCTGGTCGTGGCGAGAAACAAGTAATAGTAGCAATGAGAGGGAGGCTCTAATTGTGCTAATTGTTGGTCTGGGACTGAGCAAGGTGCTGCAGTGCCCAGCGAGGGGGCAGGCAGGAGGGAGGGCACCTGCTCCCCCGCAGCCTGGAATCATTAAACACAGGCCTGACCTTTCTGATTGTCTCTCTCCTGTGCCTCCTTACACCTGCAGTCCTCCCAGACCTTCCCAAGGGAGAAACTGCAGGAGAGAAGTTGTTAATTACTTTGAGTTTTCTGCTAATGCTAATTGTTACATTACTTTAGATGGGCTGGGAAGATTTTTCCACATTTGGCATCAAACACTTTTTAAATTGTTTATTTTATTTTAATTGAAGGAGGAGCTGTAAGGTGTGTGGGTGGGCAGTGGCTGGGCGCAGCGCCGCGCTCTGCAGAGGGGTCCCCTGCTCCCCTGGGGAGAGGCCCCTTGTCCTTTAACAGACACACTGTCTGTTTGTGACTTGTTCCACCCAAGAGAGAACCTGACTTCAAGACACCAGTTCTGACGTTCAGGTTGTTCATACTCCCATCAGGTGATGGGGTGGGACGAGGAAGAATTAGGAGTCTTCGGGCCAGGTTTGTGACTTTTCACGGCCAGCCCTTTAGCGCTTGGGTGCGATGGAGCAGCCCTTGGTCTGAGGCTGGTGCTGCTCTGGATCCCTGCCGGATGAACTGATGCAACGGGGCAGAGCAGGAACAGCACCCCCCAGCTCGGGGACTGGGGTGCTCGGAAGCAGCTCCAGCCGAGCTGGCGGGGCTGGGGGGTCAAAACACCCAGCAAACCCCCCCTGGTCCTTCTGGTTTCAGCTGGATGCGAAAGACAAGTAGGAGGAGGCTGGCTCCCTGCTGCCGAGAGACGCATTCGCCCAGGAAAGGAGACGCCGTCGTGCCCAGCGTGGGGAGGAGGAGATGGTGGTGGGGAGCCCCGGGAGAGGCCTCCAGCCCCACAGCCGGGAGGCAGGGGGTGCTCCGGGAGGTGGAGCAGAGAGACCCTCACCCACCAAGGAAGGGAGGCTGAAGCCCAAGCACCGAGCTGCAACCGGTTCTGCAGGTGAAAGCTTTGTGACCTGAGGCTTCAGAGCGGTCACTGCAGCCCCCAGCGCTGTCCCCTCCCCCTCTCACCTCAGTCCAGCACCCACCAGCAGAGATGTCCCTTGTCCCGGCACTGGCCATCACCCATCACACCATCTGGCCACCTCTGGCCATGAGAGCTTCACCAGCAAGTGCCAGGGGAGCTGTGCATCCACAGGTTGCCCAAGGCCTCCTCCTGAGCCCTCCCACCCCGGAGACCCCCGGGGGCTGGTGCTGAGCAGCAGGGGCTGAAGATGCCCCGAAGGCCAGGCCTGAGACAGGACAATGGAGACTCTTCCAGCTCCTCCCTCCGGAGCGAGCACCCACCGGCTCCTGCCCCGGCTCCTCCTCAGATGCTTCTCTCTCAGCAACGTCCTCCCGCTGCCGCAGACCATCCTGTTCATTCTTCAGCTGAAATCTCTGCTAATCAGGGGACAAATGCTGTCGGGGGGTGTCTGCCCCCCACCCTGTTCAGGAACACCAGCCAAAGCTGCTGGCAGTTTCAAATTTATGTCATGTTAATTATTTAATAATAAAGAGTTCTAATTATTTTGCTGATGTCACCTGAGGGTTTTTTTTATGAACTTACCTTCCCTTGTGTTAAGCACATCCCGTCCCCAAAACCACCGCTTCTTTCACCTGCTTTTTTAGTACTTGTTTTCCCCTTTCTAGCCGTTCATCCAACCACCCACCTCAGCAGCAGCCACACATCCCTCCTGCAGCGGGGACCGGCCCCACGGGGGCTTCGGGCAGCCCCGGGAGGGTCACTCTCCCATTTCACAGGCACCAGGAGCCTCCAACACGTCGCTTCTCACTAACAATGGTGGGACGTGGTGTTTTTTAGCCACCCCCTGTTAAAAAAGCCTTTACTCCAGGAGCGCCTCCTGCGCCGGGGCGTCTCTGAGCAGGGCTGGCTGGTGGCAGGTCGGGGGGTTACGCACGATAGAAAACCAGAATACACCAATATCAGAGGCTTTGCACTAAAAATACACCCCCCCACTTTCCCTTTTGCATGGGAGAGCTTTAACAGCTGGGAGGAGATCAGAGGTCTGTGTTTTCACACAGGTTTGTGGTGGGGTTTTTGCTAAATGAAAAAAAGAGAGATGTATTTGGCCCAAAATGTCCAGTCTCCAGTGACTGGCGGGAGCTGCTCCCCCGGCAGCCTCCGGGTCAGTCTCACACGGACACCAGGTACCCCTGGGGGAGCCTGGAGATCTAATTATGATGACTGAAAACAGTTCTTAATCACGGAAGAACTAAACTGAACGAAGTGTCCCTTCAGCTTCTCACCTCACAGACCCCGTCTTCAGAAAACCGGCACCGACTCCTCCCTCCAGTCCCGTCCCGCTCCCCGGCAGAGCCCCCGCACACCCCAAAACCAGACCCCCACTGGGGCTGAGTGGTGAATCCCCTCCTCACGGGCAGGAATCAGCTGCCGGGCACCGTTTTCATCCATTCCAGAGCGTTTGAGAAGGCGAGGAGTGTCCTGTGTCAGCTGCTGTGACCCCGAGGGCCGGGCTCAGGCGGGTTCCCAACGCCCCCTTTCCCTGGGGGTGCTCCCTCGGATGCACCCGGTGGCAGAGGTGCAGGGAAAGGCTCCAGCTTCACCCCAGTTTAATGCTGCAGTTTCACCTCCCAAATAAACATGTGAAGTCCAGGGTGGGGGGAGGAGAACTGTGTGCTCCTCGGAAACACCCAGAGACGTTTCCTCACTCACCCGGAGCTCTCGCGTCCCATGAATCACTGCCAGGAGCCCATTTGTCAGGTTTTCTTTATTCTAGCATCACTTCTGCATTCCTACTTGTGATAGTGAGTTTTGGAGCGCTGGTACATGAGACAAACTGGAATATTTTCTTTAAAACAATTCTCTTTAAAAAGAAAAAAACAGGAAAAAAAAAAGACAACAAATGTAAGCGGCAGGGAAGGACAGGCCCAGCCCCTGGTGGTGGCCAGCAGCAGGCCCCTGGGGAAGCCGAGGTGGCCACGGAGGCAGCAGGAAGAGCCCAGACTTTGGCCTTTTGTTTGGAAAGCGCAAGATGGGGAAAGGCCGATGCCAAGAACTCAACCCCGTGGTGCCGGGGGCATCGTGTGGTGCCAGAGCCCGAGTCCCAGAGCGCTCCTGGCAGTCACTGCGGCCAACGGGGGGGCTGGCAGCCTCACAGGGGGCTTCCCTCGCCCCCCCCGTGAGGTGCACACACCGCTCTGCACTCACCAACACCCCCGGGTGTGCACGGGCACCATCACACACAGCCACACGCAGCAAACACACGCTCAGCTCCCTGCTGAGGAAGCGGCTGCACCAAGGCCCCCCACAGACTCTGCTCCCCAAAAACTGCCTGAAGAGCCGCGGGGGCAGCTCCCCCCACGCAGGGATGGCCACGTATAGCCACGCATGGCCACATGTAGCCACGCACACAGCAAGTGGCCACACAACCGTCGGCACAAACACGAGACGCTCTGCAGGATGCTGAGCCCCAATGGTGACAGACAGATCCTCCCCCCACCCTTTTTGCCCAAACATCACGTTTTTTGGTGGTTTTGTTTTGTTTTTTTTTAAAAAAAAAAGGTCCTACTGGAAAGTCCTGGAAGCGATTTGGAGCATGAAATCCTCAAGGCTGCTGAGAGGAGGGACCATGCTGGGCCATGAAGACCCTCGGGGAGGAGCGGTGGTCATGGAGCTGGGAAGGAGGTGGGAGCGGTTCCTTGTTGTGAATTTGCTGTGAGGGGTCGGGCTGGATCCAGGTCCCCCGGGGAGAGCCCTGGCCCAGCACCGGCCTCTGGGCACAGCCCTGGTTCCAGGGGGTGGCACGGAGGGGCTCCCCAGCTGTCTGAGGCTGGGGCCAGGCCTCCATCAGTCCAGCCCCAGGTCCGAGTCGGAGGACGACCTCTCGTCGGCCGCCTCGCGGATGGCGTTCTCCATGGGGGCCAGGCTGCCGCTCGGCGTGATGCCCATGGGCTGGATGACCTGCTCCCTGCAGGGGAAGGGCACACACACCTCAACAGCCGCAGCAGGAACATGGGGCTTGTGGCTAATGCCCAGAGGTGGCCCAGAACAACCCCCGGCCACCACTAAGAATCCCCCCCTTTCAGAAGGCGGGGACAGTTCTCGCCATAAAACCCCCAGCGCGGTGAGGCCATGGTGGGAAGCACAACCCACAGGCTTTGCCATTCCCAGGTTCCATGAACAGGCTGTTTTAGGGTCCCATTCCATGTGGATCAGGGTGACCCAAGAACCACTGGCACTGGCAGCAGCGTCCCTCCAACACACGATGGAAGTACAGGCATTAAATGCACTGCCCTTTCCTCCCGCCATCGGGGTGGTCCCAACCCAGCTGGCAGCCCCTGGGTTCCTCTGCTCCACCGATTAACAGTGGATGAGTGAGGACTGGAGAAAGCAGGGAAAGGGATCGGTGCCACCAGCTGCCATCTGTCCCCCAAACACTGCTTCCCACGGAGCAGCCTGGCCAGGACAGTGGCTGCTGCTGTCCCTGAGCCCCCGGCCAAACCTGCCAAGGCAGGAGGTGCCTGGAACCACAGCGCAGGCACGGAGAGGAATTCACAGTATGCCATCGTGCCAAAGAGGGGTGGGGGCTTGCAGTGCCTTCCCCAGCATGTAACGGGGCCCAGCTTAAGGCCATATTTCCCCATGTTCCCCCCCTGCTCCCTCTCACATTCCTTTAGTTAGCAGTTGGGAATACATCCAGGGAAAGGTCAGTGATACACGGACACCACAGACAGGAGGGTGCTCACACAGACACAAACACACGCGCTTTTCTAGTACCTGGACAACTTGTCAAACATGTTGACTAACTTCATGGCTTCGTACTCCTTCTGCTCTTCAGTCATCCCTTCCATGGGGTTGGGCAGTTTCTCCTCGACACGCCCCGTCACAGGGTTAATGCTGGAAGAGGAGCAGTGAGGCTGGGACAAGGAGGGAGGAGCACAGACCCAACGCAGGCACCAGTCACCACCCGCACCACGAGCAGCTCCACCACGGGGGCATCTCACCCGAGGGATGGGCAGAGAGGGTGGAACAGGACATGAAAGGCGAGGGTGAAACTGCTCAGGAAATGTGCGTGACAGAGCAGGACACAGGAGATGGCAGGGGGGCAGATGAGGAAAGGGACGGCGCAGGAGTGGGAAGAGGGGAGTTACGGAGGGGGAGCGGGGTTCCTTACTTGGCCTTCGCCTCTTTGTACTCCTCAGTGTCTGTGTCTTCATCTTCCGAGTACTCTCCCTCTTCCCGACCACCAGCCATGAGGCCTCGTGCTGCCAGGAGCCCAGCGGCGTTCCCGTAGCCCGTGTACTTCACAAACCGTGACACTGCCGGGAGGAGGGGACAGGGACCACCCTGTGCTTCCCCTCCCACCTCTCTGTCTGCATCCGCTCCCATGTGCCCCCCAATACAATCCCAGTGAGGCCATGGAGCTCCAGGAACTCCAACGCTGCTTTGAACCCTGACAGGGAAGGAGGCTCCCTCCCTGTACAGCAGGAACGATGGGGACAACACCCCGGATGCAGGCCAGGTGTCTGCAGGGTGTCACCGTGTCCTCCAGCAGAGCTGTTCCCTCACCGCTGCCACAAGAGACAGCGGCTCCTTCCCTCTTGGACACTCTCCACCGTTCCCTACTCAGCGTGTCCAGCCCAAGGGAGGGGAGGACAGAAGGTCCTGCTGCTGCAGAGGTCACTGTCCCACACTCTGGGGCGGCCCAGGGGACACGCTCCAGGGACTTCCCAGCACCAAGGCCCACCAGGAGCCCCTGCCACTCACCGCTCTCCTTGCAGAGCACGAAGAGGAACTCTGCGGCGCAGTGCTTCACGTCGGTGTCGATGTGGGTCATCAAACGCACCAGCTTGTTCCGCAGAGAGTTCCCCACCTCCGGGCGGGTCCTCACGTCCCGCAGCGGAGGCAGCACCTACGGGGCCACAGCAAGGGGTGGTCAGTGGGGCTGGAGCAGCAGGGCAGGCAGGGGGGTACGTACATGGGTTTTACAGATCAGCTACAACTAATAAATCCACAGACCAGGGGAGAAGTGGAAAAAATACCGTGGGTGCCAAAGGCCTCACCCACCCATGTATCAGAACCCAGCAGAGGCAGAGGAGGTCTCTGTCAGCACCACCCAACGCCTGGCCGAGCTGCAGCCTACCTTGGCCTTCAGGAACTTCCTGGTCTGGCGGTGGACTCGGGCGCTCTCCGTCAGCAGGTTCAGCACCGGCGTCAGACTCTCCTTCAGCTTGTGGCCCTGCAGGAGCAGCCACAACAGGAACAGCTCAGTCACAGGGAGCTGAGCTCATCTGCCCCGTGGTGGGGAAATGGGCACAGACCGACAGACGGGCACTGAAGCCTTCCAGCCCCGGCTACAGGAATTCCAATGCTCCATCGCTCCTCAAATGCCACAGTTTTCCAAGCCCTGCTCATGGCACGGCATAAGCACTTGTGTAGGGAATCCAAAGGGGAGAAGTGCAGCTGTAAAATTTGGAGACCCTTTGGTATAACTCCAGAGACTGAAAACCACAGCCAGCTTGAAAATAATACAAATTCAGGCTCCCAGAAGCTGCCCACCGGGTCACCACCGAGTGAAACAGAGCACAGATATTTCCATTGCCCAGCAAACCACCTACTGTCCAGCCAGTCCCACCACCTGCAGTCTGTAAGGCAACGGCACAGTCACCTTCCTAGTCCACAGATGCTGGGTTAGTCCTACCAACCCTGACAACCATGACCAAACAGCTTCTGCTAAAAACCACGCCTCTATGAAGGGGTATCTCCAAACCAGCCCCACCTGGCTGGCTCCTGCAGTGGTCCCAGGCTCTGCGAGGCTGACGGGACAGTGCTCTGCAGGGGACACGTGAAACAAGGGGGGACAGACTCCCCCAGCAGCCTCCCGACTCACCCTGTCCAGGCGCCGCTCCAGGAAGTCCAGCAGGATGCTGACTGCGTCCATGTTGACACCCATGTACTCCAGCGAGCCCGGCCGGACTTTCGGGGTGAGGAGGACATCCAGACATTTCAGGGGCAGGTTGCCCAGAAGGTTAACTGTATGGCTAAACACAGAAAAGAGAACATGTAGTCAGGGGTCTTTGTTCACAGAAGTTCTTCAGCTAAAGCAAGGTTCATTACTAACTTCCAGGAGTGTGAGGACCCAAGATCCAAGTTGTCTTTAGACTGCACCCCAAGCTCCTCAACCCCTAAAAGGGAATAAATTGAACTGCTTTTTGGGTAGCTGAACTATTTGCTGGGAGTCCAAGGAGACTTCAGTGACAATGGTCTTTCTCCAGGGTCTCCTACTGTCTCACCCCTCACCGTGGTGCAATGCAAGGCATTGCTCTGGATTCCTCTGACTACAGCCTTCCCGGGGACAGGATTGTGTCACCTGCTCAAAGCTGATACCCTGGGGTCAATAATGCTCCACAACGTGACAAAGGCAATTTCTCAGTGTGACCCAAGAGACAGACAGTTAATTAAGGCCAGCCCATGGACTCTTTAATTAAAAAGCACCAAAACTCTGCCCTGGCGAGCTGCCCACTGGAGTGAGTGGCACTGCTGAGCAGGCCTGACACGGGACATTGGATATGGCCCTCAGGGCCAGGCAGGTGGGGAGAAAACCCTCTTCCCGTGGGCCAGGGGGCAACTGTGGGCAGGGCAGGGCTATCTCCAAGCCCCAGCAGCAGGAGGGACCTGCAGGGCAAAGCAGAGATGCCCGAGGTGACCTTAGCAATGGCCACACACACAGAGGAGGTTGGCCAAGGTCAGGCAGGATCTGCCCTGGGGAGACCTGTTTCTGGTGAGGATCACAGCCTCGTTACCTGACACAGACCTGTGGAACTCCTCTGTGCGGTCCTCTCCATCTGCAGAGATCATGAGGCAGTGGCGCAGGAGGGCACCCAGGTGCCGGTACTGAGCAGCATCTTCCTGGCCCCAAAACAGAAGGTGAAAACCTTGTTCAGGAGCAGGGGATCATCCACAGCCCCATCCCTCCCTCCAGCAGCCTCACAGCTGGCAGAGGGGTCTTGAAGTGGAAGTAGCCCTCAACTCCCCTTTGGAGGTCAGCACAGTCCTCCTGCTGCCCAGGACCTTCCCCATCACTCTACAACACTGAGCCAAGGGCTGGAAGAGGCCCCAAGACAGGCCCCTGTATTAGCCAGAGATGTTCTCCATCAGACCTTCCTTCAACCTTCTCCAGAAGGACAGAACAGGCCACCCTCAGGAGCAAGTTACCTGGGGGCTCCACTCTCCCACTTGTGCAACAAATCATCCCGTTACGATGCTCTAGTGGGAGGTGTCCCTGCCCATGGCAGGGGGGTTGGAACTAGATGATCTTTGAGGTCCCTTCCAATCCTAACCATTCTATGATTCTACGAAAAAAAACTCCAACTTTTAAATTGTAATGCTCTGAAAGTCTTAAGTGTTAATAACGCGTTGGATGGAGGCAGTGCTCTGGGGAGGGAGGTCCAGACACACAAGTGTCCTGCCACCCTTACATGTACTGGGGGGGGAGCATGAGTGCCAGTACCTAACACAAGGAAGGGCAAGCACAGGAGAAATCCAATAGCCAAACCACAGCCCAGAAACATGCGAGTGCAGCGAGGTGGGACGCCTGAGCTTACCTCATCCACCTCCCTCTTGCTGGAATCAAAGGTGATGTTGAAGAGCACTTTCAGGATCTCCATGGCTCGCTCCGTCTCCTGCCGAGGCAAAGGTGGGAGAAGTCCCTCCTCGGTGGCAACTTCATAGGGGTCCATCCACTTCACACCGAGGGTCAGCTCCAGGGTGTCTGTCATCAGGCTGATGCCCCGGAGCTCCTGGGCCAGCTGCTGGCGGATGTCCACCCTCAGTGCTGTCAGCAGGAACAGCAGGCGCAGGTCAAAGAACTTCACCTCGTGAGGAAGACTCCTCTCGTTGTACAGTTTGATGCGCTTGGCCAGGCCCACCACCAGCCGGGCTTCGGCCATCAGCTCCTGCGCCCTGGGGCTGCTGAAGACGATGTTGCAGAGACATTTGAGGGATTCCAGGATGACATCCAAGTCTGGTACCTCCCGGATGAGCTCCTCCGAGTAGTCGATGCCAGCATGCCTGGAGAGGGTCTTCAGGCCATCCTTGGTGGTGAAGGGGCCCAGGCAGTGCTTGTCACGGGACAGGATGCGGATGCTTTCCAAGCAGGTCACCTGGCAGGACGGCTGCAGCTCTCGTTCCAGGAACTTGATCAGCAGCTGAGCCATTTTCTGTGCAGATAGAAACAAGTAATACCTTGTGCACCAACACTTCTCTGTGCTCCCCACCACCCTGTAATGCCGTGCCCTGGAAGGTATGAGCACCATCTCAAGAGGGACCCACAACAGCTTTGGTCCAGGTGCACACTCAGCAAAGTGTTTGGCTCCAGATTCTGATCCCGACCCAGTTCAAGCAAGGACACCCAGCACAGAGCAAGGAACGGCTGGGAGAGGGTCTCAGATGTCAGGGGGGAGCACGAACAGGCAAATGCTGCTATCGCATATGGTAGCTTCACCCCTGGTTACAAGGGTTGAAGGTAACAGGGTTTACTCAACAGTCACATGAAGCGAGGAGAGGGCAGGGCAGAAACGTCCCTCATGGCTTCACTGAGGAGCCAGCAACCCGACGGTGGGTCTCTACTCCCACCCAGAGCCTGAAGGTGAGGGAGGCACTGGTGCTCCAGAAACAGACTGGAAAGGCTGAGAGATGCCTCAGAAAAATCACCAAAGGAGGGTAAAAGGACCTAAACGAGGCAAGAAGAGCACCTCCCTAGGAAAGGAGGTGAAAAGACCTCGAGAGACTCAAATAAGTAGCACCTCCCTAAACCTCAGTGCTGTCTGGAGACCTACTAGCCCAGATCCTCAGCCGGCACCGGGCGGCAGAGCTCCACTAACACCGATTCACAGGAGCTGGAAATCCAGCTCCTGCGGGTGACAGCAGCGAGGGAGCAGCACAGGAGCAAAGGCAAGGCCCCAACAGCCAGGGGAGCTCGGTTTGAAGCGTGTGGCAACACTTCCCTCACACCAACCACCCATGGCACAGGCACCCGCAGCCTGTGAGGTCACATCTCCCCGGGTCTCTCTAACAACACGGAACCAGGGCATGTGTCTCCATGTGTGTGACAGGAGTGAAGGAATCCCAGACCGCAGGGTTTGCTATCGCTCAGTGTAACTGGCCCAACACAGCCTAACCTTCAGAATAATAAAAGGATGAGGGAACAAATGAAGAAAAAAAAAAGTAAATTTCAGTCCTTAATGTGGGGCTGGCAGAACTGAACAAGCTGCAGCTCAGGAAGTATGTCCCACAACTGCACCCCAGAGAAGTGAGAAAGTACAGTCGTTCCTCTTCGCCTGCCACACGAGGAGACAGACACAGGAGTCAAAGGTACAGCTCTAAGCAGCCAAAGCCTCTGACTGACTCGGGTTAGAGAGACCTCAGGGCTGTGCCCAGGTCTAAGCCTTCAGAAGAACTGAGCTCCAGAAACCAGGTGGTGACACTCGGTTCATATTCCATGACATAGAGCCCAAAAGTGGAGCACCCCAGGGCTGTGCCCCTGCTCACAGCCAGTGAGACTGTCCCAGCTCCAGAGCAAGTCAGCGCGAGGCAAAGAGCCTGGACCTTGTGAGATCCAGTCCCACACATCGGGCTGGACCTGGAAAAACCTCCTGCTGGCAATGGCACAGACAAAAAGAGGTCCCACTCCCCAGCCCAGCTGCCTGCTCCACACTCGCTGTGCTGACACGGGCATTAGCACAATCTGCCAATGAACTGGACCATGAAACTGATCCAGATGGAAAATAATCCAGGAGAGGAAAAAAAAAATGTTATTGGCAAGGCAGATCAGCCTTGCCCTGGCATGAAAGGACAGCAGAGCAGGAGTGCTGCTCTCCATCCAGTGCCAGATTAAACCAGCTTAAAGTATCTGTTAATGTACGGCTTTGGTGAGATCCTGCTGCTGCTGCTCCACGGCAGAAACACCTCCCTCCAGAGCCCTGCACGCCACTGTGATCTCTGCCGAGCAGGCTCACACCACACATGCAAAGGATCACACTTTTTACACCCCCGTGGCTGAGCCTACATACCCCACAGAACCTGAGGGGCTTGCTAGTGCTGAGCTGTGTCCTGAACACCAGCTACTGATGGAAAAAACAGAGCTAGATGCTCTGAGCACACCATTCCCTAAGCAAGTTAATGAAAAAACACTCATTTCTCTCCTCATAGGAGTTGCCACCACCCAGCCCTGCTGGACACAGGTCCAGAGCAGCAGCAGATTGAGGTACCCAACCAGAGGAGCCAAAGAGTGTGCCTACCTTCCTCTCCTCCTGCTCCTCATCATCAAAGGTGAAGCACTGAGATTTCTGGGGGGGAAAACAAAAACAGTCAAAATAAGTAACAGGTTAAAAATCCACAGAATTGTTTCCCCCATCCAGGGGAGGGCCATTCAGCCAGAAAGCAGCAGAACTAAACACACACCACAAAAGCACAGAGACGGACCACACCACCAGGTCTCAAGTGCTTCCCATGACAGAGGTCCCTGCTTCTCTTTCATCCTTGAAAAACATCTAGGATGAACACTACCCACTGCCCTCTCCCACTGGCTCCATGGTGGGGGCCAAATGCCACAGGCCAAAGTAGTGCCCATCTGACAGATGGACTTGTATTCTAACACATTCTAACAGCAGTAAAGCAGGTATCCATCCCAATCCAAATATTCCATAACAGCCGGTAATTACTCTGCTCAGTGAATCCACAAGGCTGGGCCTACACATTTCCCCCCCCCCTTGATGTCTATTGTTCCTTTTCTTCACCAAAAGCAAGTACTGTCTCCTGGTTACTTGTGAGCAGATCCTTGTGGTTGTTCAGGTCATGTTCCTTGAACACCACAGACCTGATGTTTACTCCCCCATCAGGTCCCTTTCCCCAGTAAATCCTCCTGCTCTTTGTTCAGGGGAAACACCTCTCTGTGTGTGACCATCCTGGCTGTTCCTGGATGGACAGTCTCCTCTCTGGCCATCCCCGGCTCCCAGTCACCTGGCCAGCACAGGAGACCACCTGCAACCCTCACTTACACCAAGAGAGCATTTGGTCCAGGTTTTGAGAACAAAAATGTTTAAAATGTATAAAACACTGATTAGGTATGTAGAGATACAGCTAGACAGAGATAATTGTATCATTATTCTCCCATCATTTTCTCAGCACTGTCACTTTTACTGAGCTACAGCGCTTAGGCTTACGGAACTGCTCAGTAACAGTAATTAGCCTTACCACTAATTAACCAATCACTCGGATACTCTGGCCTTATTCTTCCCTCGAGTGACCGCAGTTCATGCCTATCCCATCCACAGCTCTGCTGAGCTCATCTCCCGCTGCACCGACCACCTCGCGCGTGTCCGGTTGTCGCTCTGCCCGATTCCTCCCCGGGACTGACCAGAGGGAGCTTCTGCAGAGGGTGAGTGTTCCCCAACTCGCCCACTCTGCAAACGCAGCCCCCCCTGCCTCTCTGGACTCTCCCAGGACACGCCGTGATGGCCAAGGCAGTGCCCACCCAGTCCCCACTCAGGTTGTCACCCGAGGCTGAGAGCTCCATCCTGGGACCGACGGGCTCTGCAGACAAAGTGTCACTTCTCTCTGCCCATCACAGCCTCCTCGCAGGCTCCTGCAATCTCATCCCTCTGTGGTTTTGCCAAATCTCTGGTTTTGCTTTAGCTGTAGTTTACTCCCGGCAATCAAAAATTGGCTGTGTAGGCACCAGTGAATTAAAAATTCCCAGAAAAAAGTACAGAGCACCACTAATTTTTACAGCAAAAAATGATGCAAGGGAGTTGCTCAGTTTGTCTACAGTTTCATAACCCTCTTCGATTGCTCCATTTCTTCTAGACAGGCCAGCAGAACCACCAGCACTCTCACAACTTTCCTACGCTCGATACACCGACGAGGGATCCAGGAAGTTTCCCTGACAACCAGGGCCTATTTCAAAAGGGATTTACCCCACACATAATCTTTGCCACTTTAAGGCTGGAAACACTTCCCTCACTGCTTCCCAAACAGTATTTTTTTTTTTTTTTTTTTTTTTTTTTTTTTTTTATCTTTATTTTTTAAAAAAAAAAAAAAAAAAAAAAAAAAAAAAAAAAAAGTTCTAGGAAAAATATTAAACCC